ACTGTATTCTTTTGGTGGCATTCTGTCTCCTTGGAGTTCAAGGCTGCTGTGAGCTATGATGATGCCACTGCACTCCAGCCTGGGCAACAGAGTGAGACCCTGTCTCAAAAAAAAAAAAAAAAAGACAGCCATCTATTTTGATTTGTATCCAAAGAGACAGATTGAGGGATGGGCAGACCAGTGGACAGATATAGTATAATAAAGCACATGTAGCAACATGGTCATTATAGAATGTTGGGCGTTCACCATACAATTCTTACAATTTGAAAAAACATTTTTTTAAATGTTGGAAAATACAAACAATGTCCCTAATGAATCTTGGCAGCTGCTCATGTCAAGGAAAGACAAGGAGGACTTGTGTGCTTCCTGCTAAGAGCATGAAGGAAATGTTCCAAGAAAATAGAAACTGAATCTGTTTATGGTCAATCGAGTTCACCGGATAGAGGAATGTGTTAAACCAGACCACAAAGATGACATCAGATTGGTAAAGTCTACTGGGCAAACAGCCTGGTTTCGTCCACAAATATATTGTAAGAGAGGAAAAAGGAGAGGAAGGGGACACCACAGACTGAAAGAGATTTAAAGAAAACTGGCCTTAACTAAATGCAATTGTGGACCTTGTTATTTGAACACAGTGTAAGCAAACAAAACACAAATATTTAAGAGTCAATTGAGGAAATCTAAACACTCACAGGCTATGCAATGACATTGAAAAATTATTGGGCTTTTTTGGTGTGATAGCGACACTGTGGTTATTGTTTGTGGTTATATCTTTTTGAGATACACATCAAAGTTTTTATAGATGAAACCATATGTTTGAGTGATGGAAGGTGCCCCTTTACCCTGATTCGGTACCAATCAGGGTATATGTACAAAAATAAGTACCCTCAAAATATGTATAACTATATCAATAAAAAATACATAGAAGAAAGTCCTAAATCCAAACTTTATACACATTTATCCATATTTTTACAAAGTAAATAAAATTCACCTATAATCACCCCACTTAAACATAACCACTAGTAATATGTTGGCATATATTCTTCTCGTAGGTTTTTTCCTATGCAATATGTACATTTTTACAATAAACTGTAATCATTAAAAAACTATTATGTTTGAGATTGGCTTCAAAATCATCCAGTTGTAGGGGTGGGTGTAGAGGCTAGAGTTGAAACAAGACTGGCCATGGGTGTTGAAAGCTGTCCACACTGCCTGGTGGTTAAGTGTAGGTTAGTTACATTACTCTGTCTAGTTTTGAGTAATGTTGATCAATGGTCGATAATAAAAGGTTTATTATAATAATAAAAGGTGGGTGTTTAAAGCAGCTTTATTCATAGTAATTGCCAAAATTTCGATGCAACCAAGATGTCTTCCGGAAGGTGAGTGGATACCTAAAACATGGTACATCCAGACAGTGGAATACTATTCAGCGTTAAAAAGAAACGAGTTATCAAGTCATGGAAAGATGTGGAGGCGTCTTCAATGCATATCGCTAAGCGGAAGTGGCCAATCATAAAAGGCCACACGGTGTATGATTGCAACTAGATGACATTCTGGGAAAGGCAAAACTATGCAGAGAATAAATTAAAAGGTCAGTGGTTGCCAGAGGTTAGGAGGAGTAGCAGAGCGCAGAGGACAGTGAAATTACTCTGTATAATACAATAAGGGAGAGTGTCACAGCTCTTTAAGAATTTGTCTAGCAGGTTTTCCAGTCCTCATCGGAAGACCCCCACCCCCACCCCCACAAAAAACATACTATCATGGCGGACACATGTCATTATACATTTGTCCAAACCCACAGAATATACAACACCAAGACCAAGCGTGAACCCTAATGGAAACTAGGGGTTCATTCATTCTCACACACACACCTAGGAAGTCTATACTTTCCACTCTACTGTAAACTTAAAATTGCTCGAAACAAAGTAAGTTTGTTAATTTTAAAGCACATAACTGCATAAGAATAAGCCAAGATCATTTTGAGAGAAAGAATGAGGAGAGACCTGCCCTGCCAAACATCAAAGCATATCTCGGTGGTGACATCGTTCCAAATTACCAGCCAGATTCTGAAGCCAGTTGCTCCCGCCAGGGATTTGACCTACAGCTATCCTAGGATGTGGGTGAAGCGTGTGTGTCCTGGGTTGCTCACTGCAGCAACGCGATGGGAATGGCAAAGGACTGGAAATCACTACATAAAAACCCGTAGGAAATGAATGCTGATAACGTTTAAATGATGGGCTACAACATAATTATAAAACACAACCAGGAAACTCCGTATATCTTGATATATGGGACCATCCCCAGGACCTGTTATGCGGGGGAAAAAAGCAAGATACAGACCAGGCGCGGTGGCTCACGCCTGTAATCCCAGCACTCTGGGAGGCTGAGGTGGGAGGATCGCTGGAGCTCAGGAGTTCAAGACCAGCCTGAGGAAGAGCGAGATCTCATCTCTATTAAAAATAGAAAAATTAGCCGGGCATGGTGGCGGGTGCCTGTAGTCCCAGCTACTGGGGAGGCTGAGGCAGGAGGATCACTTGAGCCCAGGAATTTGAAGTTGTAGTGAGCTATGATGATGCCACTGCACTCTACCCAGGCAAACAGACTGAGACTCTGTCTCAAAAAAAAAAAAAGCAAGATACAGATTAGAACAGTGTATGGAATGTGCTACCATTTTCACAAGATGGGAAAACATAATACGTATGCAGATTTCCTTCTATCTGGGTAAAATATCACTAGAAGCAAACACAGAAAACCCCATGACATTGGTTGTCTCCACGGAAGAGAAAGTGGTAGCTGAGGGACAGAGGAGGGACACATTTCACTGTCTACTTTTACACGCTTTTGGAATTTAGAACGTCAATATTACCTATTCCTCCCAAAAGATTTCAAGTTATAATGAATATTTAATTTTGAAAAATGTTATTAAAAGCATCTGTCATTAGAATAGCATAGAGTTGTTCAGTTAGAAAAGTTGCAAGGCATACAGTCCTTTTTTTTTTTGAGGCAGAGTCTCACTCTGTCGCCCTGGGTAGAGTGCAATGGTGTCAGCCTAGCTCACAGCAACCTCAAACTCCTGGGCACAAGGGATCCTCCTGTCCCAGCCTCTCAAGTAGCTGGGACTACAGGCGTACGCCACCACACCTGGCTAATGTTTTCTATTTTTGGTAGAGATGGGGTCTCGCTCTTGCTCAGGCTGGTCTCAAACTCCTGAACTCAAGCAATCCTCCCAGAGTGCTAGGATTACAGACATCAGCCACCTTGTCCAGCCTGCATAAAGTCTTTAGAAGTCCTTTATGGAGAAGAAAAAATTTTAACTGCCTTTCACAAATGAGTCTGACTCCATAATCCATTTTTAAGTCACACCCAGTACGTAGAAACAGTTTGGCAATCACCAGAATAACAATCATATCGAATGTTTATTAAACACTTATTTGCATGTCCCTCTGCTAAGCATGTTACATATACCACCTCATTAGATCTTTACATTAGTCCTATGAGGTAGCAAGCATGACCACTGCATGTTGAGAATGGAGGCCCACAGAGGTGAAGCCATTGGCCTGAGGTCACACAGGAATGAAAGCATGAAACTCGCAGTCTTATCTATGTGGCACGTGGTGCTCACCAAGTACTGTGTACACTTAACAAGTAGTTATCGTCCCGGCACGATGGCTAGTGGACATGGTGGACCCCAGTGTGGGAGTTAGGGGATTAAAGGCCTGATTCGCTCCCTGCTTGTCCTGGGTTCCTCAGGGTTATGGTTGGGCTCATGGCCATGGATGGAAAGTCAGTTCACGGAGGTGAACAGACAGAAATAAGGCACAGCGGGTAGGTGAGGCTGATTTCACCATGTTGGGCCCACTCTGTGGGTACTGCCTGGTCCAATCCCCTCAAGTGGAGGCGCCACTGGGCCTCAGCACACACTGAACACCGAAGGGGCCTGGCTTCGGTATTTCTCCTGGACTGTCTTGAGGATGGGTATGAGATTCTGGAAGGTGGGGCGGAAGGAGGCCTCTGTCTCCCAGCAGTTCTTCATGAAAAGATAGATCTAGGAAGGAAACATCCGGGCAGTGGTGGCGGCTCTCTCCATACCATGATAGTGGGGGTAAGGGAAGACGCGGGGAGGGGGGGCTCACCTCAGGGGGACATCTGTCAGGCCGGGGCAGCCTTTCCCCTCGTTCCAGCAGCTCCATGAGTCTCAGCACCGTCATCTGGCCCTGGGTGTGGCCTATGAGCTCAATGAATTTCTATAGTAGGAACAAGACGAATTCTTTTCAAGAGATAGTGAAGACTGCGTGGGCTCTTTTTTTTTTCCTCTTATTTATTATTATTATTTTTTTGCTTTTTCGTCTTTTCATTTCTTGAGACAAGAGTCTCGCTCTGTCGCCCTGGCTACAGCGCCACAGTGGCATCATCATAGCTCACTGCAACCTCAAACTTCTGGGCTCAAGTGATCCTCCAGCCTCAGCCACCCAAGTAGCTGGGACTACAGGTGCACGCCACTACTCCTGGGTAATTTTTCTATTTTTTGTAAAGACGAGGTCTCGTTCTTGCTCAGGCTGGTCTCAAACTCCTGGCCTCAAGTGATCCTCCCGCCTAGGCCTCCCAAAGTGTTAGGATTACAGGAATGAGCCACCACGCACGGCTGTGCATGGGTTCTAATCCCACCTCCACACTTCTCGGCTGTATGACTTTGGATTTAGGACTTTGCCTCTCTTGGGCCTCAGTTTCCTCAGCCCTAAAGTGGGGTGACAGCATCTACCACCTGGGGTTACTGTGAAAGTTGGATAAACTAATATTCACAGAGTAAGTCTGAATCAGGTGTCTGCTATTATTAAAGCCTTACACCAAGTCGTTCTTATCCGCCCAGAATCTTCTTTTTCTTCTATAAAGGTTCTCTGGCTTTCGGAACAAACCCCTAACATATTCTGGGCTCCTCCCTCCAGTCCAGGCCTGGCCAATCACTGTGCACCATGGCTATGCAGTGATTGGCCGCATAGGTGAACACATGAGCCAAGGTGGACCAATCAGAGGAAGTCTTGAGTATCATGCGGAAGGAGGACCACTGGTACCCTGCAACTGACGGGCTTGGGTGCTGGAGGACTGGGGTGCACTGTTGCCACAACAGAGGGAGATGCTACCACAGAGAAGAGAGTTTGAGAAAATGGGATTCCTGATGACACCTGAGGGTCCAGTGTAAGCCATACCCTCGGCCACGCCCCTTCCCATGCAGTGTGTAAACGGTGGAGTATGCTGTTCCTATTTTGCCCACATCAGTTGGAGTGGGGTTTCTGTCACAATCAAAGCCCCCTGCACTGTAAGTTGCCCATTTTATAGATCAGGACTGTGAGGCTCAGGTAGGTTAAGCGCTTGTTAGGGTGAGGAGCTGGGATGTGAATGCATGTCTAACTCCTCTAGCAAATTCTGGGGCGGGGGCCTGGCTCTCACCGATGGGGGGCTCTGGCTGGAGTCGCAGTGTGTTAGCAGCTCATACAGGGTGACCCCGAAGGACCAGACGTCGGACGCATAGTAGAACTTACCCTCCTTCAGGCATTCTGGGGCATACCTAGGGGGAGGGGACATTCAGGCCTGCGGGCTAGACTCGGGGTTTGGGGGTCAGACCAGGCTACAGCCCCCTGCTGGAACTAAGGGACCTCTCTGGCCTCAGTTAGAACCCACCCTTAAGGGCACAGCCTGAGTGAGGGTGAGACTCTAATTGTCCAGGCCAGCTTGGCCCCGCCCACCTGGCCTCGCTGAGCTCTGGTCCCACCCCCTCACCTCTCTAGGCCCTGCCCATTTCTACTGGATTTTTTTTCTCTGGGGGAGGGTGATCATCTCAGATCCAGCATCGGTCTCCTCCACCCTGCCTGTTCCAAATGACCCTGGCACCCCACCCCCAGTGTGCGCCCCTCCTGGTCACCAGAACACGGGGCTGTCCCCATCCTCGCGCACGCAGTAGTACTCGTGGCCTTCGGGCACGGCCTTGGCTAGGCCAAAGTCCCCGATCTTGACCAGCCTGTCGTTGTCTAGCAGCACGTTGCGCGCAGCGAGGTCTCGGTGGATGTAGTGCTGCGCGTGCAGGTAGGCCATGCCCTGGTGGCGGGGCGGGGCGAGTCAGGATCAGTGGGGCAGGGGTGGGCCCGCGGTGGCGGGCCTCAGCAGCCAGGAGGGCTGGGGGACAATCAGGTCACGCCTGCGGACCGGCTGCTAGAGAGCACAGGATGACAGGTGGGGGCCGAGCAAAGGGGGCGGGGCTCGAAAGCAGGGGCGGGGCCAGACGAGAGATGCTTGGCAAGGGGAAGGCCATTGGGTGGGGCTGGATCTGCTGGACATGACCAAGCGAGCGGAGGCGGGACGGGCGAGCAGACGGGACTGGACGGCTCAGACCAGGCCAGGCCCAAGAGGAGGGGAGTTCTGGAAGCAGTGGCAGGGCCGACCCACCTCGCAGATCTGCTGGGCGAAGAGCAGCAGCTGGGCCAGCCCGACGCTGTGCCGGGGCAGGTAGTCTCGGAGGCTGCCCAGGGGCACATACTCCATGACGAGCTGCACTGACTTCTCGCCTGGCGCAGAGAGGGGCGGCCCGGGCGGAGACAGAGGGAGGGACCGGGGACAGCCCACCCTGAGCCATGCAGAGCCCCCTCCAAAGTAGGGAGGGAAGCCCAAGACCCAGGCACGGTAGGCCCAATTCTTAAGTGGGAAGGGCCCATCCTGTACCCCGTCCCCACGCGAGTGAGCTGCCGGTGGCTCTGCCCATCCGGGGTCCACCAGGCAGCACCCCCGAGGTGGGAAGGAGGCAGTCTGGTGCCTACAACCGCGTCCTCCAGCCTGGGCTTGAGAGGCTCCAATTGGCCTAGCCAACTCGACCACACCCACGTTCTAGCCACGCCCCCACACAGCTAGGCCCCGCCCAGCCCGGCCCACCTTGGTCCTCGCAGCAGCCCTTGTACTTGACGATGTGCTCGTGGTAGAGCGTGCGCAGGATGTCTATCTCCCGCCTCCAGCCGGAGCGGAGCTGGGGGCCGCAGTCCGCCTTGAGGGCTTTCACAGCCACCATCTCGCCAGTGCCGTCGTTGGTCGGGTCGTAGCAGTACAAGCTGACCTTGCCGAAGTGACCCTGGACGGTGCGCGGGAGGGCTGGTCAGCCCCACCCCCGAGCTCCCAGGCTCCGCCCCCCAGGCAGAGCCATTTGAAAAGTTCCAGGTCCCACCTACTCCGTGTAGATGGGTCTCCTGGGAGCCCAGACCTCTTCCAATTCCCCAGGGCCTCGCTCAAAGCTGAGGGTCTTCTACGCCACGGCCCCACCCCGTCCTACCCCAAACCACCCTAAGGCCGGACTTTATTCAATCCCAAACTCCTCCCCCACCACGTGTGCCTTCCAGCAGCCCAGGGCCCGCCCTCACCTCGCCCAAATCCCGGATCTTTTTCAAATAGCGCTTGTGGAAAACCGTAGGGTCTGACGCCGGCGAGTCCGGGTTTACAGTCACAACGTCAGCAAGATCTGGAAGAGCCCCAGTGAGGCCAGACACTGGCGCCTTCCCCAGCGGACCCACGCTTGGGGGTCCCAGAGTGGCCGCTGCTCCACCAGCCTCCGCCCCCAGAGGTAAGAAAACATATTTTTGCAACAGCGGAAAAATCACAGTTCCCGTCCAACATGTGCAGAGTGGGCCGCATTAAAACTGACACCTGGATGTCCTGAGATTGGGTAGAGAGCACAGACACTTCACTGAGAAAAGAACAAAATTGTGATGGTTTCATATCCAAAGAAGTTGTGCCTCTCCCCAAGCAAGCATTAATGACAAGGACAGCTCAGGACAGCCTCTAAGAGAATTGGAAAGCAGCACACACCCTGAGCCACTGTATACCCAGCCATAGACCTTGGGCGTACTATGGGTGCATCAGCTGGAACCCCAGCCCTGACCCCCTTCCCCAGGGTCCCAGCACTGGGAGGTAGCTCACTGTGTGGCTGCAGCCGAGTGAGGTCGCGCAGGATGGTGCGAAATGACGGCCTCTGGCCTGGCTCGTAGGTCAGGCACTGACTGGTGAGTGTGGCCAGCTCAGGGCACGAGGGCTCAGGCAGCCGGTGCTGCTTCTGATAGAAACGCTCTTTCTGCAGGGGAGGGGACCCACAGGAATCAGCTCCCCCCATCTTCCCCCACCCCTTCCCCAAGAAGCAGAGGCAGGTCCCTAGAGCAGCGGGGCTGGCCCAGCCAGGCGCCTGCTCTTGGCCAGTTCCATTTTGCAGACAAGGCATCGGCAAAGGGGTGACAACTTGCTCATGGCCCCAGAGCCAGGACTTGGACCCTGGTCCTGCTGACTCTGCTGAGCTGAGCTGCAGCATCTCACACTTGTCCCTTCCTGGCCTGGCTTCTATCCACTTCCCCTGGACGTACCTCGGAGGGGCCTCGGCCCTGGAGGGGTGCTTCCCCATCGAAGCAGATCTCTAGGAGGGTGGCACCAAAGCCCCACTTGTCGGCGGCGGTGCTCAGGCTGTTGGCTCCGCCAGGCAGACACTCGGGGGCCATCCACGGGATCCGCTCCACCTTCTCTGGGGGCCAGGGTCAGAGGTCACTGAGGGTGGGAGGAGGAGAGGAAGCCCCTCTCTGTGCCCAGCCCTGCTCGGGTTCTCACCCTCCCTGGAGAGGGCACTCACGCCCACGCCTGGGTCACTCAGCTTGATGAAGGGGCTGGTGCCTTCCGCCAGCCCTGGCCGTGCCAGCAGAACGTTCCGGCCACACACGTTACCGTGAACCAAGTTCTTGTCCTCCTGGGGTGGGAAGGAGAGGGATGTGGCCACGAGGGAGGGGCGCAGACCTGACTCCCAACCCCTAAACCATGGGCCCCCCCACCAGGGACATCCAATGTGAAGAAGACAATCATGGTCACTATAGGGATACCAATACGCTGTCACCATGACCAAATAGCACTGGGGACTGTGGGGGCACTTCCTGTTCTCCCAGAGCTGGTGGCCAAGGCTCTCCTCAAACCCACGCAGGCACATGCCTTCTCCAGAGCCTTTGCACTGGCTGTTCCCTCTGCCTGGAATTCTGTTCCCCCAGAACCCTCAGAGCTCCCCCCCAATCTTCTTCAGGCGCCACTTATTTAAAACTTCACCCCTTTCTCAAACTGTAGCAACCCCTTGTCTCTACTGATATGCTTTTTATCTTACAATTTTATTTCTTTTTTTTAAGGGATGGGGTCTTGCTATAGTGCCCAGGCTGGTCTCGAACCCCTGGTCTTACGCAATCCTCCCACCTCGGCCTCCCAAACTGCTGGGATTACAGGCATGAGTCACTACGCCTAGTAGTTCTTATTACTTTCTAACATGTTGTGTCACATACTCATTGTTCCTTATTTGTCTCTTCCGATTAAAATGCCAGTTCCCTGAGGACAGGGATTGGTCTGTTTTGTTCTCTGTTGTGTCCCCAGGATCTAGCATGGGGCCTGGAACACAGAGAGTGCTCAGTAAACACTGAATGAGTAGGTGAAGGGGGCGCTCTGGAAACTGGGGTGACCAGAGCAGGAGGGGCTGGAAGAAGGAAGGGTAAGAGGGAGAGACAGTCAGAGGAGGCCACAGCCAGGCCCCAAGGCCCTCGGCCACTAGGCAGAGAAGGGTCATGGAAAGATCCGCCAGGATCCTCTTGTAGACTGAGCGAAGGGTGGAAGCCTCCCACCCCAATGCCAAGACCGCCCTGGCCCTCCCCAACGCCAAGGGCCCCAGGCACAGGCCACGCACCAAGTAGCTGAGGGCGCTGGCCAGCTGCTGGGCGACCACCACCTTCCAGGCCACAGGCACGTGGCCTCTCTCTCGCCGCAGCCACACGTCTAGGGGCCCGTGTTCCACGTACTCCGTCACCATGATGTCTGCAAAGACACAGCTGCTCCAGGGGCTGCCTGCCTGCTTCCGCCCTCTGGAGGCAGGGATAGGGGCAGGTCTGGACTCAGGGACTGGGCTTGTGGCTGGGGAGGTGTCAGGGCAGAGGTGTAGGCAGGGTTTGGTCTGGGTTGGGAGTGAGTTTGGGGAGAGGAGAAATGCAAGATGGGGCAGAGGCTGCAGTGGGCACAGCATAAGGCACAGGTGGACAGTGGTGTGTGAGTCCAGGTGGGCTGGGGCATTGAGGAAGGTGAAGTTCAATTGATAAAGGTGACTACGGAAGTGGGGAAGTGGGGCGCTCGAGGCTGGGGCAGAGTGATGTTAGGATGCCAGGCCGAGCACAGTGGCTCATGCCTGTAATCCCAGCACTCTGGGAGGCCGAGGTGGGAGGGTCACTTGAGGCCAGGAATTCCAGACCAGCCTGGGCAACATAGTGAGACCCCATCTCTACAAAAAAATAAAAAATTAGCCAGGCACGGTCATGCACGCCTGTAGTCCCAGCTACTCGGGAGGCTGAGGTGGGAGGATCGATTGAGCCCAGGAATTCGGGGCTACAGTGAGCTGTGACTCCACCACTGTACTCCACCCTGGGTGACAGAGCAAGACCCTGTCTCAAAAAAAAAAAAAAAAACCCAAAAAGGCTGATTCCAGAGTAGGCAGGAAGATGCAGGTCTGGGCGTGGACCAGTGCCAAGGTGAAAGTAAGAGAAATGTACACCCATGGGGTTGAGGGACTGGTGGGTCTGGGGTCACCTGTACAGGAGTTTTGAGGCCCATGCAGAGTTGGGGTACACTGCAGCTGGGCCTTCAGTAGGGTTGGATGTCAGGGTCCCAACAGGGCTGGGGTCTGCCCGGGGCACTAGTGCCGATGGGGTCAGAGGGTGGACAGGGGCTGGGTTGTGGAGGTCACATGGGTGGCAGATGTTAACTGAGATGTAGTCAGGAATTAGGGTATAGGTCAAAGGTCAGGGTGCAGGCAAGGTCAAGGGATGTAAGTTGAGGGCTGGAATATAGTCAGGACTGGGGATATCGGTTGAAGGTCAAGGTGTAGCCCAGGGTCAGGGTGCAGGGGAGAGTGGAGAAGTCATCATAGGCTGGGGTGTAAGTTGAGGGTTGAGGGTCAGGTGCCACCCAGGGAGTGGGTACAAGTGGGGGGTGGCCAGGAACAGGGGGTTGGTGTGGCGGGGCCCACTCACTCTCAGAGCCGCGCACGCAGACGCCGTGCACAAAGGCCAGGTGCACGTGGGACACCTGGCTCATGAGGCTGGCCGTCTCGTAGAAGGCCTGTGGGGACCAGGCAGGTCAGGTGGCTGCGAACCCGACCCCTCCCATCCTGCCCCCTGCGCCCTACTCCGCAGACACATGCAGGCCCCGTGTCACTCACCAGGGCAATGTCGTGGTGACTGGGATCCAGCACTTTGAGCACCACTCGCAGCTTCTGCCCGCAGTTCCCGCCGGGCGCGAGGGGGTCCCTGCTGTCCACCTTGCCCTCCTCGGGGTCCCCGCCCTCTACTTGCAGGATACCCTCATACACGTTGGTCCTCGTGCCCTGGCCCAAGTGGGACAGCTACAGGAACAAGTCACGGAACATTGCCATGAGGACAGTCGGCAGCTGACCTCTCTGGGGCCCCGGCCCCTGCCCGCCACCCACCTGGGTGATCTCGTCCTGGCCGACACGGTGGAAGCTGAGCTGGCTGAGGTTGAGCTGCCTGCTGCTGGCCCGAGGCCCCCGCATGACAATGAGGTTGGAGATTTCTGGGGACAGGGGCGACGTCACTGAGGGCTGGCATGGGGCAGAGATGCCACCCCCACCCGGCGGATGCCTGTCATCGTACCTCCCGGCCGGGGAAGGCAGCAGCGGCGCAAAGAGAAGCAGTCGTCCCCGGCCCGCAGCGAGCAGCCCTGCAAGGCGGCGCGCAGCTCCCGCACGCTGGGGAAGGGGCGGCCCCAGCCCTCCAGCACGAAGGCCCCGGCCCGCTGCTCGATGGGGAACTTGCGGAGGTGCAGGCTCTGTGCGTGGCCGGGGGCCTGTGCGGAGTGACAGGGGTGCGGGCGGTGAGCAAGGGTCCAGGCAGCGAGCGTGCCCAGCCCCAGCCCAGGTCCCCCCGCCAGGCCCACCTGGCCACGCTGGGCCACCGTGAGGATGAGGCGGTAGAGGTGGCTCGTGCTCCAGTGCATGAGGTACAGGCCGTCCTCGGGCCGCAGCTTGGCCTGCACAAACGGCTCCCTGGGGAAGGGGGGACAATGGGACACCCTCAGGCCACCCAGGGCCACTCCTGGACACACACTTGGTAACAACGACACAGAACACCTGTCCAGGGGGGCACAACCCAGCTGGGACAAGTGACAGACACATCCACTAAAGTGGTGACACGAAGTCTGGATGCGCACACACACACACACACACACACACACACACACACACACACACACACACACACGGCCACTCACACAGAGACACAAGCACGAGGACAGGCCCCGGGCACTCACAGCAGGGGGCCGTGGATGCCATCCTGAATGCTCATCAGCAGCCGTGGGGGGGCCACCTCGTGGCACAGGTAGTGGCTGGAGTCAGCTGTCAGGCGGAAATAGCCATCCACCAGCGACACGAAGGACAGGGCCTTGGCCCGGGAGGGCAGGCTGAACTCCTGCAGGCCAGGGGCGCGTCACATCAGGCAGGCGGCCCAGGCCAGAGCAGCCCCCAGCCCGGCCCCCCGACTCCTGTGCGGGGACCCACCAGGCACTTGTTGTCCTGCCGATGGATGCTGACGCGGCTCTCTTTGAGCACCACGTGGGTGATGTCCCGGAAGTCGCAGAAGTAGGCCCACGGCGGCTCCCGCGGCCCGTCCACTGGCAGGTCGCCCGCCTCGTGCACCTTGGCTTTCTTCCCAGACAGGCTGGCATGGGGATTCCTGCCGATGCTGCCACTGATGTTGCTGCTGCCACCACCGCCACTAGAGCCCTGGACACCCAGTGTGTAGGGCAGGGGGTTGGAGCAGGCTACGCCTGTTCGTTTCCCTTGCACTTTTGCTCAGGGGAGAGATGTGAGCCAGAGGGGCCAGGGACCACCTCAGGTCACCCTCCCAGGAATCCAGGTGTCACAGGCAGGACAGGGACCCACCCCCAAGAGATAACACGTGCCAGCAACCTCCGAGAAGGCAGAGTGGAGAATCCCGGTCCACTCACCCCCAGGTGCCAGGTCCCCAAAAAGGGATTTCCCAGAGGTGCAGACCCCAGAAATCAGGACCCCGGGGGGCAGGCAGATGTAGCACACTCTCCAAGGAACAGACCCCAGGGGACAGCCAGCCGAGAGCCACATGGGGAGAGGGCCCACCTCAGCCACCCTCGAAGATGAGCGGACATCCCCACCCCAGCCCTACCTGGACCCCCAGAGCGCAAGAGGCGCCCTGCTCACCTCCGGCTGTATAGGTCGCCACTGGATGCCGCTGGTGCCTGCCACCAGCACCTCGTGGGTGGAGGGCCCGGCAGCAGACTCAGGGCTGGGGTCCGTGGGGGCCTGCCCGCTGTCCAGGGTGTAGCAGGGCTCCACCTCGGCCTGGGCCAGCAGCCGCAGGTGGCACACCGGCAGGCGCTCCGTGCCGAAGCGGGGCGCCAGCCGCTCCAGCGTGGCCAGGTATTTGACCATGACCACCTGCTGGGAGAGGAGGCCCGGCTGAAAGGCCCGGATGAACTTGCGGAAGACATTGCGCAGGCGCAGCCGCGTCAGCACGTTGTGCTGCCGGATCTGCCTCCGGAAGGAGCGTGGGATGCAGTCCTTGAAGCTGTGGGGGCCACAGGGAGGGGCCGGTCAGGGACCTGTGTGGCAGGCCAGGCCGGGCAACATGGGGCAAGCGGCTTAACCTCTCTGAGCCTCAGCTCATCTAGAAAATAGGCACGCTGGCCGGGGCCTAGTGGAAAATGCCTGGAATTCCAGCACTTTTGGAGGCCGAGGCGGGAGGATCACTTGAGGCCAGGAGTTCAAAACCAGCCTGGGCAACATAGCAAGACCCCATCTCTACAAAAAATAGAAAAATTAGCCGGGCATGGTGGCGCACACCTGTAGTCCCAGCTACTTAGGAAGCTGAGGCAGGAGGATCGCTTGAGCCCAGGAGTTTGAGATTGCAGTGAGCTATGATGACACCACTGCACTCTAGCCTGGACGACAGAGCAAGACCCTGTCTTAAAAAAAAAACCATTACAAATTTCTACATTCAGTTTCCCTGGACACAGGTCTTTGCCGCCTTCTGCCTCTGGGCCTTCATGTATGCTGTCCCCTCTGCCTAGAATGTGTTGCCAGTGCAGTCTGGCAACCAGCTCAACTTCTGGTCTCAGCACAGAAGTTGCCTCCTCCAGGGAAGCATTCTTTCATGTCCAGGCTGCACAGGGTCCCTCCTCTGGGCTTCCCAGAACTCTGGATTTTGCTGCCACAGCCCTCGTCCTTCAGAGCAATAACAGGATAGGTATGGCAAAACACGTGCTTCAAGAAAAATGGCTGTCTTTTTTTTTTTCTTTTGAGACAGGGTCTTGCCCTGTCACCCAGGCTGGAGTGCAGTGGCTCCAATCATAGTTCACTGTAGCCTCTAACTCCTGGCCTCAAGCGATCCTCCCACCTGGGCCATCCAGAGCGCTGGGATTACAGGTGTGAGCCACAGTGCCCAGAGAGAATGGCCAGTTTTGAAAGATCCAGCTCTTGTGCCGCCTCCTCCAGGCAGTGTGCCCTGACTGCCCAACCCTCACTGTGATGCATGGATCTACCACAGCTCTGTTGGTGGGAGTGAGAAGAGCTGGCTCTCAGCTCCCCAGACTCCTGCCTCCTTCCTTCCCTTGAATTCGAATGAGTTCTCAAAGCCAATGGGCTTTGAGGGTCTGCCAAGTCCCTACCTCCCCGCTCCAATTTCCTTCCCCATCAGTTTAACAGCAGCCTCCAACTCCTGGGCTCAAGTGATCCTCCTGTCTCAGCCTCCCAAATGGCTGGGACTACAGGAGTGAGGCACCACACCAGGCCTGTACATTTCACTTTTGTATTTTGTTAATTGCCTGACTCCATGGAATGGGAGCTCCAAGAGGGTAGAGAGTTTTGTCTGACTTGTTCACTGGTGTGACCGCAACATTTAGCACTGGTGCCATTCAGGAATATACCTGTTTTTGTTTTTTTAACTTTTTTGAGACAGGGTCTCACTCGATTGCCCAGGCTAGAGTGCAGTGGTGTCATCACAGCTCACTGTAACCTCACATTCCTGGGCTCAAGTGATCCTCCTGCCTCAGCCTCCCAAGTAGCTGGAACTACAGGTGCATGGAACAATGCCCAGCTAATTTTTCTATTTTTTGTAGAGATGGGGTCTTGCTATGTTGTCCAGGCTGGTCTTGAACTCCAGGGCTCAAGCAATCACCCTGCTTTGGCCTCCCAAAATACTAGGATTATAGGCATAAGCTTCTGCACCTGGCCTATACCTGCCTTTAAAACAGATGGAAAAAACACAAAAAAACTAGTGCTAGTAGGTGTTTAGTAAGTGTTAAATGAATAACGGCATGGCAATATGCAAAGTCCACCCTGGCTCCCAGATGTTTGGGGCATTCCCGCCCTCTGCCACCTAGGCAGTGTAGCCACCCCATTCCCAGACACCTGATCTTCTTGGCCACCTCCTCCAGGGGGACACCGCGGTGGAGAGCAAGGTGGCAGAGGTGCAGAAAAGCCATGCCCAGGCTCTCATTCTTAAAGTGGTGGATCTCCTCCTCGTTTGAGAGCTCCCACAGTGATGCTACATCATTCACAAACTCGTGCTTGCCCTGGGGATGGGAGAGTAGGGCAGAAAAGGAGGCATGAGAATGCATTTACTCTCTAGCCAGAGGACTCTGGTTTACTGTTTCTAGCCACCTTGGGGACGGGAGAGATCACTGTTTTCTGGAAAGACCAAATATACAGCACACACTCCACCTCTGTCCAATACCGTGCCTGTGGCAGACATCACTAATCAATCACAGCACTCTTTCCCCTTCAACCCAAACTCAATTGGTTCAGGCAACCAAAAGATCCCAGATGACATGAGTTGAAACCTATTAGCTATATATTGAATCAGGGAGGGAAGTGGGGGCTCCTCAACTGCTCCTAAGTCCCCCATAAATAGTCCTGCCTCCCCTCCCCAGCCCTGCTCACACCTGCTCAAAGAGGTACTCAAACGAGGCTGGGTCCAGGAGTTGCACCCCCTGCTCTGTCTGTTCTGAGGAAGCCTCGGTGCCTGGGGGCCCGCAGCGGTACACGGCTGGCTCCTGAGGATTCATGCCATGCCAGTTCCGGAAATAAAACCTGCAGGAAGAAAAGGGCCCAGCTGGGGGCTTAGTACACACTCAGATCAGCTCCAGAACAGAAGGGGACAAACCTTCCAAGGGGCCTCGACCTACCTCATGCGGAAATACAGCAACAGGCTTGTGTCCCTGGAGATCTCTAGGATGTGGTTTGGGGGCAGCCAGACTTGAGCTTGGGCATCGAAGAGGGCAAAGAGATTGACACAGGGAGGAGTGATGCCTGCATTGGGGGGAGCAATGGGGTCAAGGTCAGGTCACCTGATGCCATCAGCTGGGAGGACCCCCAGATTCTCTGTCTCTCTTTACACTCCTACCGTGGGCCACCTCCCCTGCCTACAGCTTCAGTCTCACATTGCTCATCGGCAGAGGACAATGCGTGGGTGACCATGCTGTGGCCTCCCAGGAGGACTGCATTTCCCAGCCTCCCTTGCAGCTAGGATGGGGCCATTGGATTGGTTTCTGGCCAATGGGAGGTAGACAAATTTCCAAGCCTGGAAATAAACCCTCTTACCATCTTCCCTGTCCCAGGGATTTCGAAGGCACCTTGTGCCAGGTGGTGAAGATGGAGGTGAACCATCCAACCTGCATTTGATTTTAGGTAAACCTTGATTGTCTTAAAGCAGGAAGATTTGGAAGATTGCTTGTTACTGCAGCAAAACCTATCTTAGCCTGACTGACACGACTCTACAAACTGCCGGCAATTTAGGTGTCTCCCCTAAACTCCAGCCCCAAAGACACATGCAACCTCCTCCCGGCATCTCCCTGTGAAAATCACAGGCCCCCTTAGATGGGCCTTGTTCCAAACATATCTCATCCGTGGACCTCAAACCTGCCCCTCCTCTGCCCAGTTCTCTGAGCCAGGAACGTGGTCCTTGTCCTCAACTCCTCCCCTCCCCTCCACAGCAGATTGGTCACCAAGGCCTGCTCTTTCTGCAGCCTCCATGTTCTTAGGATCCATCTGCCATCTTCAAATCCAAAGCTCAACTCTAGGCCAGCCTGCAAATTTGCCATCATTCTCCGTAGCCACCCAAGCCTTCTTTCTTATTCTACATATCGTTTTGGAGTTTTATCTAAAATAGTCCCTTTAGAATAATTTATGATCATGTACGTACCAGCTACCAGATAAAGAAATAAAACTTGACAAGCACAACTGAAGCTCCTGTCTACACCTTCTTCCTTTCTCCTCCTGCAAAGAGGTGGTCACCATACTCCCGAAGGAGTGTTTATCACTTTCATGGCCTCTGCAGTCTAGTCTTGAATGTCACAGACTTGAAACGTCTGGTATTATACTACAGACGTTCTTCCGCAATGTACTTGTCATGCTACAGTAGGGTGTTTTGTTTTTTTTTAATTTATTTTTTTAGAGGGTCTCACTCTGTTGCCCGGGCTAGAATGCAGTGGTGCTATCATAGCTCACGGCAGCCTCAAACTCCTGGGCTCAAGCGATCCTCCTGCCTCAGCCTCCTGAGTAGCTGGGACTACAGGCATGCGCCACCACGCCCAGCTCATTTTTCTATTTTTTGTAGAGAGGGGGTCTCACTCTTGCTCAGGCTGGTCTCAAACTCTTGGCCTCAAGTGATACTCCTGCCTCAGCCTCCCAAAGTGCTGGGATTACAGGTGTGAACCACCACGCCTGGCCACTATTTTTAACTATGATAAACGAGGCAGCTCTGAATGCTGTCATAGGTGTCCCCTGGGACACATAAGCTGAGTGTTTGTAGAGTGAATATCCATCCAGGAGTGGAACTATATGGCCTCTGGGAATGTACATTTCAACTATGTTAGATGATGTGAAGTCATTGCGTTTAATTGTACTGCCTGCTGCAAAGGGAGGATATCTTCCTTGGGAGACTTCCTAAAGAACCAATCAGACTGCTTCGCTCTCTGGCTTAAACCTTCCACGGCTCCCTATTGCCCTGTGAGAAAGCCCAAAGCCCAACTCCGCCCCCCACCCCAGCACTGAGTAACCATGACTTTGCTTCTGCCTGTTACGCTCTGGTTTCAAGTCTCACTTCCCCTTCCAAACTGTCCAAATTGAAACCCCAGTCACCCTGAAGGTCTTTCACTTCCTCCAACAGACCAAGCTCTCCCGGTACTCTACGCACGCTGTTCCCTCTGCTGGGTCTCATTCACGCCACCCAGCTAACCTGTCCAGGTCCTTTGCAAATCAGCCATGGATGGGGAAGTACGAGATGCAGAAATCCACTGGAGCGCCCCCATCTGGTAGTAGGGTGTTGTGGTGCAGGGTTAAGGGGGCTTTCTGGGGGAAGGGACAGATAAGCATTGCCTCCTTGGAGAGAGGCCTTCCCTCCGCCAACAGGTGAAATCGTACTTCTGAGCACATCACCTGCAGCTTCTCTAAGCCATTCCGGGGGTTCTGCTCCCCACTGCTCTCAGGAGGAGGTCTAAACTCTAAAGTCCTCCCTCTGGCATATAACTTACCGTAAGATCTGGCCCTGGTTTACCTGCCCCCCTTCATGTCTCACCTAGAGGTCACCTCTGTCCTACTCGCCTGTCTCCTGCCTTCACCTCCCCAGTCTGTTCCCCTTACTGCCACCAGAGGGGGCCCGTGAGCACCCAAGTCCAGCCATGTTGCTCCTAGGCTCACAACCTTTTGGGGCTCCCATGTCACTCAGAATAAAATCCAAAGTCCCCTCCAAGGCCTACAAGCCCATATACAACCTGCCTTCTCACATCCTCCTGTCTCCCCTTCATTCCCTTTGCTCCTCGCTGTTCCTGACAAGTTCCCACCTCAGGGCCTTTGCACTTGCTATTCCCTCTGCCCAGATATCACCACGCCTCCTGCTCTCACCTCCTTAACTTGTTATTCAAGTGGCACCTTCTCAGAGAAACCTCTCTCCACCCCCAGCATGCCCCGTCTCTCTTCGCTGCTTAATATTCCTCCATCATCTCTGGACGCTCCCATGTGGTTTTCTTATTTTTTTATTTTAAAATTTATTTTATTTTATTTATGTTGTTTTAGAGACAGGATCTTGCTCTGTCGCCCAGGCTGGAGTGCAGTGACGTGATCACAGCTCACTGTAGCCTTCAAATCCTGGGCTTAAGTGATCCTCCCACCTTAGCCTCCTGAGTAGGTGGGACTACAGGCACACATCACCACATCTAACTAATTTTTCTATTTTTTTTTTTTTTAGAGATGGGGTCTTGCTATGTTGCCCAGGCTGGGCTCAAACTCCTGGTCCCCAGTGATCCTCCCACCTCAGCCTCCCAAAGTGCTGGGATTATAGGTGGGAGCCACCGCACCTGGCCATTCATTTATTATGTTTCTGCTGTCTTCCCTACTAGAATATCGGCTCTACAAAGGCAGCCATCTGGGGCTGGCACATAGTAGGTGCTCACTCAATGGTTGCTGAATGAATGGGCAGATGGATGGACGGGGCCCAGCGGCTGCCTGCACCCCCCACCCAGCCCCGACGGGGTCGATGCCCCTGACTCACCGATTTTGTGCGCGATATGGATGCAGATCTCCTCTGCAGTCAGCGAGCCCTCGCTGAAGGTGACCCAGGGCTCCCCGCCACCAGGGCCAGCCCAGTGCAAAAGCACCTTCAGGCCTCCCATGGCAGCCAGAGGCTGCGCTCCGTTCACATCGGGCTTGCTGCCCCTGGAGCCCCGCCGTTGGCACAGAGGCATGCTCCTCCTGGCTGGCTCGGCTGCGAAAGAACAGTCCGTCAGGTCCCGGGCCTCACCTGGAGGCCCCCTTTAGCACCTCAAAGATTCAAGGTCCCCCTCACTGTGTGACTTTAGACACCCAATTCCTCTCTCTGAGCCTCAGTTTCCACATTCGTTTGACAGGGTTGGGGTACGCGTCCCCACCTAGTAGATCTGTCATCAATGATAACACCAAAACCACCCCTCTTTTTTTTTCCCCCTAAGAGACAGGATCTCACTCTGTCACCCGGGCTGGTGCGCAGTGGCTCAATCATAGCTCACTGAAGCCGCGAACTTGTGGGTTCAGACGACCCTCCCGCCTCAGCCTCCGGAGTAGCTGGGACTATAGGCACATGCCACTATGCCTGGCTAATTTTTCCATTTTTTTCTAGGCTGGGTGCAGTGGCTCACACCTGTAATCCTAGCACCCTTAGGAGGCCAAGACAGGAGGATCGCTTGAGATTAGGAGTTCGAGACCAGTCTAAGCAAGAGTGAGACCCCGTTTCCACTAAAAATAGAAAAATTAGCTGGGTGTCATGGCGCATGCCTGTAGTCCCAGCTACTCGGGAAGCTGAAGCAGGAGGATCGCTTGAGCCCAGGAGTTTGAGGTTGCTGTGAGCTATAATTACACCACTTTACTCTACCTGGAGCAACCGAGTGGACTCTCTCAAAAAAAAAAAAAAAAAAAAAAAATTTTTTCCTGTGGAAATGAGGTCTTGGTGTATTGCCCAGGCTGGTGTCAAACTCCTGGCCTCAAGAGATCCTCCCACCTCAGTCTCCCAAAGTGCTGGGATTACAGGCGTGAGCCACTGTGCTCGGCCCCTCCCCTCTCTTGACAAATATGTACCAATATAAAAATCCACTCTGAACCCACCTCCCTGAAATCACCAAGCAGATAGGCGTAGTCAAACAGACCTGGGGGATGAGTCCTAGAGCTCCCTGTGTCAACTATAGCAAGTCACTCAGCCACTCTGGGCCTCAGTTTCCCCATCTGGAAAACGGAGGTGCTGGGAATATTGCCATCGAAAGATGGTTGTGACATTTCAACGCGGTTCTGCATGTTACACGTTCAGTTCAGACCTTGATGTAGACACGAAAAAAAATAACAAATAATGACCAAAATGAGAATAAAATAATTATGATTAATTTCATCACTGTTATTGTTTTTCTCTTTTAGGCCACGATCCCTGTCCCCCACACCTACCCCTCCGCCACATGAGTGACTCCAGTCCCTGCTGACTGCTAGGAGGATTAGGGTCCAGCTCTGTTCCCCCAGTCCAGGGCCTAGGCCCCCTGAGTGAAAGGTTAGGTCTCCGGTATGGTCATAGCAGGGCTGTCAGATTCCACTGATGTCGCTGGTTTAAGACAAACAGTGATGGGAAGAGGAGGATGTCACAATGGCAGAAAGTCAGATCCCTCAGGACTTGGCTCCTCTTTTGAGTTTGTTTGGTTATCTGGAAAATGGGTATGTAAGTCCCTACTTCAAAGGGTTGTTGGGAGGATTCAACGAGATGGGGCAAGGGAAGGGCCTGGCACACAGTAAGTGCTTAATAAATGCCCGCTGTTAATATCTACTAATGTTTGAGACGGGATCCCCGAGATGGGGCTTTCCCGGTGCTCACTTCCTCCTCCCTCGTCCCCACTGGATCCAGACCCGGCTTTGAAGATGGGCTCGGGGTGAGGTCCGCACCTGGGAAGGCTGCACCCTCGGCCCCGCAAAACCTCCAAAGCCAGCTGGCAGGGGCAGGAACGGGGTTGTGCACCCACGGGGCATCGGATCAGACCTGAGGCAGGGGGTACTCCTATCCAAGTGCTGCCTGCCAAGCGCAGCCAGTGCCCGCGCCTCCTTCCTGATGACCTCCTGGGCGCGACCCTTCCATGCCCCCCTCCAGACTCACCCTTCCCCGGGACTCTGGACTCGAACCCGGACCCCGCCCCGCTGCCGTCGCCGCCGCCGCGGGGAGCCGCAGCTGGTTCGCCGCCGAGACGCCGCCTCCCATTGGCCGCCTGAAACGCACACGCCCATTGGCCGCTGCCCTGGAACCCCCTTCCTACGCAACCATTGGGCAGTTCGCCGCGATGGCGGCGCTTCAATTGGTCCTCGGTGTTACCCGTGACTCAGCCTCGATTGGCTGAATCGTCTCCCAGATGCACTACAACGTCTGCGATTGGCTGCCGCCGGGTGGGACGGAAACACGGAAGTAGGCGGGAGAGCAGGGTTTGGGGTCGGTGTGGCCAGATCCTGGGTTTCTTGGCTGGGCTCTGTGCTCAATTCAGGTGTATATGATCCTGACCCTGGGCGTAGGCTCTTGTCCTCACCTCGGCGTTCAAGGCTGCACCCGGACGCCATTCAGTCCTCCAACCCCCTGCGTTGTGGCTCCCCCTTCCATCCCGTCCCACTTCCCTTCTCTCGGCTCTACCTGGCCAACTCCATCTTGCTGGCTGGGATTCCCCCCTTAACTTCCGGGAGGCATTCCTGACCTACCAGTTCCTGTCCCCATCCTGTCACCCGCAGCCTGGTCATCTGAGGCCCCCTAGCGGTCAAGGTAGCAGCTTGGACTTCCCACCACCGGATCTGAGTTCACATCCCCACTGGGCCAGTGGTTGCCATTAACTGAGAAGGCTACACGCTGATCGCTTTACATTGCATCATCTCATTTAATCCTGGCAGCAGCCCTCTGTGTGGGGGCTCTTATTATGCCCATTTCGCAGAGGAAGAAACTGAAGCATGGAGAGATGACAAAGACTTCTCTCTGACCAAACTTTAGTCAAACGTTAGTCCTCTGAGCCCTCTTCTGGACTAGGCTTTGACCAGTCCTTGACCATCACCCTGAGCCTGTCTTTGGCCTGGCCTGGCCAGTTTTAGCAACGGATCCTACTAAGTCATCCCCCACCTTTAATATCTGATGAAGTTCCTCATCCCCCACTTTTGGCGTATAAATCCTTGCCCTGCCTTTAGCAAGAATCTTGTTAGATCAGTTTAGCAAGACTCTTCGTACCCTTGATATCACCTCTTAGTAATAATATTCCCTCCACGACCCCCTCACTCTGATTTTTGGCTATTAATCCCCAGCTGTCTTTGCTGTATTTGGAGTTGAGCCTGATTTCTCTCCCTTATTGCAATACCTCTATTGTGTAGCCCTGAATAGAGTCTTCCTTACCGTTTTAACACTGTTAGAATTTTTTTTTTTCTTTAGCAGATGGGCACAGACAGGTCAGACTGTTTCTGGAGTTGGAGTCTGTTTGCCAAGGCCAAGGGCACATGTCTGCTCCTCTCAGAGTCTGAGAAAATATGGCGAAAAGACTGTCTCGCAGGGCAGCTGTGGAGATTCAGTATGAAAATGTGGATAAAGACATACCCTGGGCTGGGTATACTGGCTCATGCTTGTAATCCCAGCAATTTGGGAGGCCAATTCAGGAGGATCACTTGAGCCCAGGAGTCTGAGGCTGCAGTGAGCTATGATCATGCCACGGCACTCCAGCCTGGGCAATAGACCAAGACTCTGTCTCTAAAAAATAAAAATAAACAATAAAAAAATCATACTAAAACAAGAAAAATATGCATATGTATCACACTGATATGTTCTTCTGCCACTCATTGCTATTTACCCAATGATATATTCTTGAGATTAGTCTATGTTGACATAAGTGACTCTAGAACATTCCTTTTCTCTGCAATATCATATTCCCACTGTACAAATCAGTAGATCAAGATTTAATTGTCCATTTTCCTACTGATGGCCCTTTATGTGGTTTTCAATTTTGTTGCTGCAAGGAATATTCTAAGGGTGTAAATGCACACAGGCACAGGTTTTTTGTTTCATTTTGTTTTGTTTTGGTGGCTTTAAGGAATCTTTTTTTTTATATATATGTAGGTGATCAGACCCAAGGCCCGAGTGTATGGGTTACAGAATTTTAAAGTCATTTAAATGCACACCCCAAATGGTCTCTTATGCTAAGATAAGGGCATTGGTTTGGAAATACTGGGTCCCTGAGGTTGGAATGGGAATATTGGGCAGACATAAATGAGTCTGAGAATTCTGAACCCACAAATATCCTTATATCTGAAGGAATTGCCCTTTCATGTATTAAAAAAAGAAAAAAAGAAAAAAACAGAGGCAAGAGGATCACTTGAGCCCAGGAGTTCAAGGCTGCAGTGAGCTATGATCACACCACTGCACTCCAGCCTGGGCAACAGAGTGAGACCCTGCCTCTAAAAATAAAAACAAAAAATAAAAAACTCTTTCATGGACTTTACCTATGAGTCCAGTTTTTTTTTCTTTCTTTCTTTTTTCTTTTTAGAAAAAAGTAGAGATGGGGTCTATGTTGCCCAGGCTGTTCTTAAACTCCTGGCCTCAAGTAATCCCCCCGCCTTGGCCTCCAAAAGTGTGGGTCCAGTTTTAAAGAACAATGACAAAACAAACCCAGCTCCCAAGACCAAAAATGAAACCTCACCACTTCCCAGAAGCTCCTCATTTTGAATCAGTAACTCCATTGCTCTGTTCCCTTTGCTTGTGTATTTTCTTCACAGCCCTTGTCATGACCTTCCATTTCACTGGAAGTTTCTTTTCTTTTTTTTTTTTTTTTTTAGACAGAGTCTCACTCTGTCACCCCGGGTAGAGTGCAGTGGCATCATCATAGCTCACCGCAACCTCAAACTCCTGGGCTCAAGTCATCCTCCTGCCTCAGCCTCCCAAGTAGCTGGGACTACAGGTGCTCACCACCACGCCTGGCTTATTTTTCTATTTGTAGTAGAGATGGGGTCTTGCTCTTGTTCAGGCTGGTCTTGAACTCCTGACCTCAAGTGATCCTCCTGCTTCAGCCTCCCGGAGAGCTAGGTAGGATTACAGGCGTGAGCCACCGCACCCGGCCTGGAAGTTTCTTTGAACACCAGACTGCCTGCCTGACATCTGTTCTTGAGGGTCAGCTCTACCTGGGAGGGGTCTGTCTTGTCATCTGCTGTGTCCTCAGCACCTGGAATTGTGCCTGGAGCCCAGTAGGTGCTTAAGAAGCCATCGCTGGAGGAGAGAATGGCCTGGAAGCCGTGGCCTTCCAGCCCGAGTTTCCTCTGTGTTGCCGCCAGGAATGCAGCAGCAGGAAGTTGATGGTGCCAGATTCTTCAACAGTGAGCCTGGGCGAGGCTCTGAGATCGGACACCAGACTACAGAGGATCGGGCCGGCCTGGGACCCAGTATCCATTACTCCAGAAGGAACCAGCAGGAAATGTCAGACGGGGTGACTCATAATAACAATTGTGGTAATAATCCCAGTAATCACAATAAATTATAATAATAGCTCCAATTTTCCCAGCCTAGTGCTTGGCCAAGGTCTGGCTGCATAGCCTTCGCCGGGCCTTCCCAGCTTATATTCAAGTGGGACCAGCCCCCCACTTGCCAGCGAACAAGAAGAGGCCACAGACGCTGTGAAAGCCTCATGTCCCAGGGCTGGAGGCCACTTGCCTGCACTGCAAATTCTAGCCCCGGCCTATAACAGAGGCCCCAGGCCCTAAGAGTGGCAAGCCAGGCCTTCCTAGGACTGAAGGAGTTCCCCGATGAAGGACTTTCCATGCTAAAATTGGGACAATCTCAGGCAAACCAGGACAGTTAGCCACCCTGCCCCGTTGGGTTGTCAGGAAGTTGCTAGAACTGGGGGATTCCCCTGACTCTGCCTGACCTGCAGGGAACCGCCACCCCACAGCTCCCACCGGGCCTGGGAAAAGCCAAGAGTTGATGAATTAAAAACAAAACTCCTTTGTCTTCTTTTGAATGAGAGAGTTCAGTGAACAGTCAGCGCCCTCCCCAAAACAGCTATGAAGTGCGTTTCCTAGGGATTTTTCCAAGAAGGTTGCACACCCCACTGGGCACATGGGTGAACCTGTGTTCTCTAGAAAATTCCCAGGAGCAGCCATAGATGGGACACTCTGTGCTGGCCTGAGAGGAAACGGAGGATTGACATGCACAAAGGCTGGCGCCAGGTAGCCTGAGTTCAGATCCCAGCGGGGCCGCTGTGTGACCCTGAGCAGTCCCTTACCCCAGCTGTGCCCCACTTTCTTCCCAAACTCAGAGGTGTGTCGAGGGCATCAAATGAGTTAATACGCACAACAAGCTTAGAAGTGCAGTGCAATGAACGTTGTCACCTTTTTCCTTTAACAATATTTCTTGTCGATTGTTCCTTTCCACGACCCATAGATCTATATCGTGAAATTTATTTATTATGAAATCTTTTAAACACCCCAAAAGACACTGAGAGACATCAATACATCACTAGGCAAAAGGTGGAAACAGGCAGGCACAGTGGCTCATGCCTGTAATCTCAGCACACTAGGAGGTCAAGGCGGGAGGATCACTTGAGGTCAGGAGTTTGAGACCAGCCTGAGAAAGAGCGAGACCCCGTCTCTACTAAAAATAGAAAAATTAGCCCAGCGTGGTGGCGTGCACCTGTAGTCCCAGCTACTTGGGAGGCCGAGGCAGGAGGATCGCTTGAGCCCAGGAGTTGGAGGTTGCTGTGAGCTATGATGATACCACTGCACTCTACCCAAGGCAACAGAGTGAGACTCTGTCTCAAAAAACCAAAATTATGCTAAGTGAAATAAGCCAGATATAAAAGACAAATACTGTATGATTCCATTTATATGAGATCCCTAAAGTAATCAAATTTGTAGAGACAGAAAGTAGAATGGTGGGCGCCAGGGGCTGGGGAGTGGGATGGGGAGTTAGTGTTTAAAGGGGACAGAGTTTCAGTTTGGGAAGATGAGAAAGTTCTGGAGCTGGATGGGAGAGACTGGGTGGTTGGAGACCTCCATTTCCACCAGAGGGAGGTGGGAAGGGAGCCACGTGGGTGTCCAGGAAAAGAGTGCACCAGGCAGGAGAACAGTCAAAGCAAAGGCCCCAAAGAGAAACCTGTTCTTCAACTTCCTATGCTGGAATCTGTAGCTTGCCCCGTGCATATCATGTTCCTTAATCTCATCCCTGGTGATGCAAGGAGGCCTGCTTCACTCGGTGGCGTTGTTCTGTCATGCAGTATTGCAAAAATTAACAGACCAGTTTCTTTTTCTTTTTGAGACAAGGTCTTGCTCTGTCACCCCGAGTAGAGCGCAATGGCGCGATCATAGCTCACTGCAACCTCAAATTCCTGGGCTCAAGTGATCCTCTGGAATAGCTGGGACTATAGGCATGCACCACCACACCTGGCTAGTTTTTCTATTTTTTTGTAGAGATCGGGGGTGGGGGGTTCTCACTATGTTGCTCAGGCTGGTCTCGAACTCCTGACCTCAAGCGATCCTCCCCCTTTGGCCGCCCAGAGTGCTAGGATTGCAGGCGTGAGCCACACCGCCAGGCAACAGACCACAACTTATTTGTCCCTTCTCTCGTGATGGACGTATATGTGGTTTTCAATTTTGTGGATTCAATGGTTCCAGGAAACATCCTTATCCTGCTATTCTTCATGTTTTAAACATTTTTTCTTGTTTCTTTTGGAATAAGTAACTCATTCGCGTGGTTCCAAATCCAAAAGACACAAGAGGACTTTGAAGACAAGTCCCCAATCTGCTCCTGGGTCCCTGACACCAGCTCATTACTGAATTCAAAAGAGGCTTCCGGTTTGGCAATTCCTAAAAAATTTCAACGCAGAATTGCCGTGTGATCTAGCAATTCCACTCCTTGGCATATCCCCAGGATTGAAAGCAGGGACTCAGATGCTTATACACCCATGTTCATAGCAGGTACAAATATCCCAAGCATCCATCGACAGATGAATGGATAGACTAGATGTGGTCTATCTGAGTGGCCATCGGAAGGGACTAATGCAATGAACGCTGACCCATGCACCTACTGGAGCTCTAGGCAGTTAGAATGAGGAAGCCGATGTGAGACTGATAAGGAAACTTCTGCAGCGTGACTTGTTCAGTGAACAAAGCAAAATGCATACAGGTTGCACAGATCGTAGAGTGTGCTATGTTTTGTGTAAAATAAAAGGAGGAAGGGATAAGCATGTATTTGATTTTCCAAAAAGAAACCCTGGAAAGAGTTGCAAGAAACTACTAACAGTGGTCCCAGCCAGGCAGGGTGGCCACGCCCATAATCCCAGCACTTTGGGAGACCAAGGCAGCAGTATCGCTTGAGGCCAGGAGTTTGAGGCCAGTCTGGGCAACATAGCGAGTCCCCATCTCTTAAGGAAGAAGTTGAGGATTCAGGTGGGTCGGCAGCCCCCACCTGCCATTCCCACCCATGCACAAAGCACCAAGGAACGCCACTTGATATGCAGCTCACGTCTGCCCCCTGGTGGTGACCGGCTTGGCCACAACAGCAATTGGAGGCGGGGGGCGAGGGGGGTTGTCCTTTGATCCAGTGCTTTGCAAACGTTCCCGAGGGCCCCTTTTCCGGTGCTGTGGATATTGCAAGAAAAAGGAAGGACTCCGTTTGTGCCCTGACGGTGCCCACATGGCAGGGTGACAACACACAGGTCGGCCAAGCAGGGCATGAAAGGCAGGCTGGGTGGCTTGGCATGAGGGTGACTCAGAATGCTGGTCAAGGAGGGCCTCTGGGAGGAGGTGGCCTAAGTTGTGGTCTGAGTGACAAGCAGCCCCCGGAGGGTAGTGTTGCCTGGGAGGGGCGGGCAGAGGGCTCCACTGGGAGACATTCATGCTCAAGTTCACGTGTACGTGTACGTAGGTGTTCATAGTACTCCTTTCAGCTCTTTTCTGTGGCAGAAGTATTAATATTTCATGATTTCTTAAGGGAGTGCACTCGCAGGGAAGGGCATGCCAGGCAGAGGGACAAGCAAGAGGCAACATCCTTTTTTTTTTTTTTTTTTTAAAATACACAGGATCTTGCTCTGTCGCCCAGGCTGGAGTGCAAGCAGCATCACGACCGCTCACTGCAGCCTCGAACTCCTCCCGCCTCCCGAGTAGCTGGTGCCAGGCTAAAGTCCACATTTTGAGCATGTAAGTGCCAGGTGCTGTGTCTGCCAGAAGCAGCATCTCACTTAATCCTCATGCTACAGCCCAGGGAGGAAGCCACTAGTGTTGCTCTTGCCGTACATATAGGGACACTGAGTGTAAATCACCCAGGGCCACATTGCCTAAGGGAAATCTCGAGTGCTCACGGACCAGCAAGGAGTGGGGACAGGGCAGAGAGGAAACAGGTAGGTGGCGCGGAGGCTGGGGAGTGGCAGGGAGAGCACAGCACGGCTTCTGAGCAGGGGCCAGACCTGCCTCGACTCCTGTGCTCCTAGGCGCCCTCTGGCGGCCACCTGTTGGGGACCGATGTGTTGCCGGGCAAGCAGGGAGGAGGCTGGGGCAGGGGTGTGGGCGGGTGAGAACTGAAGGTTGAAGGCTTTTGACCAGGAGGCCTTTGGAGGAAGCCTGTTCCAGGGAGTGGAACAGCATGTGCAAGGTGAGGACCCGGGACGGCTGGAGGGCAGAAGCCTGGGGTGTCCTGGGCTCATCCTCCAACCATCCACAGGGTTTTCCTCCCCCCTCCCCAAGAGAAGGGCAGTGCCAAGAACCCTCGCAGTGGCCCTGGTGAGCATCTGAAATCCTTTATTGGAAGACCACTGCCGCTTACCAAATAGAAGACTCAGACAGCCGATGAACAGTGAAAACAGAGCCCAGTGACGGGAGCAAGCCCCTCGGCTAGGGACCCTCCCCCCCACCTGGTGGACCAGTCTGGCGACCTCTGCCCCTCCCTGGACCCCCGGGCCTTTGGCATAATGCTGATGTGGGGGGCGGGGACTGCAGGCAGTGAAGCCCCTTGACTCGAAGCAAAGACTCAAAGACTCGGATGAGTGCTGGGGAGCAGGGCAGTGGTGTGGGGACGGGGAGGGCCCCCTGAACTGGGGGGAGCAGCGAAACCGGAGGAAGCCAGGAGCTGGGGAGACGGTATCTATTTTCGTCTTCTGAAAAGGGGCGCGCAGGGGCCTGCAGCAGCTGGGGCGGCTCACGCGCTGACATCCTTGTCATCGCCCGGCTTGGCTTCCAGCAGCGGGTCCCTGGGACCTGCATCCTCCCCCTCCTTGGCCTCGCTGGCCTTTGAGTTGGGGACCCAGAGGCCAGAGTCAATGCAGCGCTGCATGTGGTACTTTGCATCCTGTGGGGAGAAGCGTGAGTAGGTGAGGCTAAGCTGCCACTGCCGTGTGGCCCGCCTGTCCCCTGCACATCCCCACGCCTGCTTCCTGCTTATGCTAGGTCACGGCTGGCCGACATGGCAGCAGCCAGCAGCCACATGTGGTTACTGAGCCCTTCAAATGGGGCCGGTGCAGCTGAGGAATGGAACTTTAAATTTTGCTTTAAATTTAAATAGTGTAATCTAGAAAAAAGGCCAAGAAATTTTTTTAGTAATGGGCCAGACGGTAAATATTTTTGGCTTTGCAAGCCATATGGTCTCTGTCACGACTCCATCCTGCCATTGTAGAAAAAAATCAGTTGTAGACAATATATGAAAACAAGGGGCCGGGCGCGGTGGCTCACGCCTGTAATCCTAGCACTCTGGGAGGCCGAGGCAGGTGGACTGCTCAATGTCAGGAGTTTGAGACCAGCCCGAGCAAGAGCGAGACCCCGTCTCTACTAAAAATATAAAGAAATTATTTGGACAACTAAAAATCTATATAGAAAAAATTAGCCGGGCATGGTGGC